CTTCGACAACCAAAGGAACTCTGCTCCACATTCTCCACATTCAACAACCAACAGAACCTTGGTGGTCAGTTCCAGCAACGTTCCTCTAGTGGTTTCCAGTCAGGCTTTAATCAGCAGGATTCCAACAACCAATTCCAGTCTAGTTTCAACAACCAGAATTCCAACGATCAATTCCAGTCCACCTTCAACAACCAGAATTCCAATGATCGATTCCAGTCCACCTTCAACAACCAGAATTCCAACAACCGATTCCAGTCCACCTTCAACAACCAGAATTCCAACAATCGATTCCAATCCACCTTCAACAACCAGGATTCCAACCGTTTCTCTCAGAACTCTCAGACCAGCTCCTTCCTTCAATCCTCCAGCGACTCCGTCAGCGGAGTCTTCGAGCCTCTGAACCTTCCCTCCGGCGCCAGTGCCTTACTGGAGGCATCACCAGCGCCTTCAGCTGCCTCGACCGTCCCTACGGCTACTACGCTGACCAGGACAACTCGTGCCGTGTCTTCCACGTGTGCAACCCGACGCTCTTCTCCAACGGCGCCGTCGAAACCTACCAGTACAGGTAAGTGACCTCATTATCCATACAGTTAACAGAAATTGTAAGAAAACTACCACAGAACTACCTGCAATGTTGAATAGTCTTTCAAAGCGTATAGGAAAAATAAAGGAAAGCATTTGTGTACAAAGTAAATTTTGCTTTATTGAGCATTTTCCAAGCACCTGTCTTATGTTTCTCTGCACAGCTTCATGTGCGGCGAGGGTTCGGTGTTCGACCAGAAGGAGCTGACCTGTGTGGCAGAGTCGTCCGCCATCCCCTGCCAGGAATCCTCCAACTACTTCTACACCAACGAGCAGTTTGGACGCCCCGAAGATAAATCTTTTTAAGAGAATCAAAGACTAACCTTTACAAAGACGGATTATTTTGTTCTTGCGTAGTACAAGGAGGAAGCTTATCTGTACCTTCAGTATATGAAGTGTATTTTCCAATAAATTAACCAAAGAAATGCTGTTTCATCATTTTGAGCACGCACCTCTGTATTGTGAAAACAAAGCCAGAGAGATGAGAAAATGTCAGATGAGACGATAAGTACAAGGAAAATTTTCATTTCTGTAAACTTATTTTGTAAAAGTAATAAATTCTAGCGTTACAGCATAAATAAAACGGTGCTTAATATATATATATATATATATATATATAATATATATATTATATATATATATATATATATATATATATATATACATACAATAAGAAAATGAATAAATAATTCTTTTCAGCAACCTATTTCCCAGGAAACGTGACAGAATGTCCATCCCTTCACCTGTTGCAACAACACTTGAGTTCCTTACGGTTGTTGCTTAACCAGCTTCGTTGTAGGGAATAGGCTTGGAAACAGCAAACACTGCAATGAAATTGATTTTGTACACACACGTGTTTGTTTACATACAGTATATATCTGCATCAACATCTATTCTTATCTATATCTATATCAGGTATTGATCTATCTATCTATAGTGTATGTAAGTGTGATTGCACGAATGTGTGCCGACAGATTTAGATACATAAAGCAATTACTATAACTTGAATTGTCTCACGCCCGGTTCATTCTTCATAGGTATGCAAAGATCATGAATGAATATGTTTCTTTTGCTTTAAACTCAGATGTCGCCACTACCGCCTATAATCAGACATTTTCAGAATCAAATTACTACTGAAAGTACATGGATTTCCGTGAACAACTTGAAGCGTTTCAGTGGTCGTTGCCCTGCGTGTTAGTTTAGAGGGTTTGTGAAACGGACGAGCAGATTGCGGTGCTATGCAGGTCCAGTATTAGTAGTCCTTTCTCGCTATCAAAGATTAGTTGTTTACGAATTTCAATAGATCTATTTTTTGGTCTACAAGAGTGCAAACACTTTATGAATGTAAATATATATATATAATATATATATATTATATATATATATATATATATATATATATATGATATATGCATGTATATATATACACACACATATGTGTACGTGTGCATGGCCGAGCGCCTATGTTTATGAGTTAATGCACGTAAATATACATACATACATACATATATATATATATATATATATATATATATATATTATATATATATGTGTGTGTGTGTGTGTGTGTGTGTGTGTGTGTGTGTGTGTGTGTGTGTGTGTGTGTGTGCATTGACCATGCACACACAAATGCATTTATCTTTATACATACATACATAATATACACTCAAATACTTATATTTACACACAAGTATATATACATATATATGTATATACCTATATATATATATGCATACACACATGTGTGTGTGTACATTATACACATACATTTATCTTTATACATACATAATACACACAAATGTATATTCATATGTGTGTTTTGCAAACGCGCGCCTATGTGTTTATGTGTTCTTGTACGTAAATAAATAATATATACATGTGTGTATACATATATGTGCGTGTGTGTATTTGTGTGTAT